CTCTATTTTTATACTCTTCCAGGATGCAGGAGTGACCATTTTGGGAACTGTCCCTAGCTTAGTAAAGACCTGGAAGAGCACAAATTGTATGGAAGGTCTAGATTGGACAAAAATAAAGTAAAATCTGATTTGAACCTTCAATACTCATGGTTCCTTTGGTATTAGTACTAGGAATTAACACCAAACCTCCACAGGTCATTTGCTTCTACTGGAGAAGCCTCCAACATTGATGATAACCTTTGGCTTTCTTCAAGGGCTTACTATAAGCCAATTGTTGAATGTTGTGGAGGCACAGAGCTTGCATCATCCTACATTCAAGGAAACCTTCTGCAGCCACAAGCGTTTGGAACATTTAGCTCTGCCTCAATGTCCACAGGTTTTGTCATCCTCGATGAAAGTGGGTTACCTTATGTAAGAAATTCTTTCTGGCATCTTTCCTGTCTTTAATTTAGCTTATTGTCATTTCAATGGTTAAATTACATTCATGGTAACTATACTTTAGTGTCAATCAAGTAATCGTACTTCAATTTTGTTCAATCAAATAACTCAGTCCAATTATGCCACCAAGACCAACGAAAATCAATAATCTGTAGTCAATAAATGAATCCCGTCATTTATTTCATTGAAGTGTACATATTTTATGATAGCAACTAACGGTTATGTGTGATTACCAATTATAGTACCAGATTGAAATCAGATAAGAAGATAGTTACATGATTGAAATCGTATTAATATATAGGTACCCGGTTAAATAAAACTGAAGTACAGTTACTTTATTGACACTAAAGTAAAGAATAATGACAGGGAATGGAATTAATCCTAATTTTAATGGTTGATGTTTAATTTCCAAGTGAACTAACTGAAACTTACATTGTGCTGTCTGTCATTACATCAAATCACAAACTTACCAATTAATTATGTTCCATAGAATGAAGAACAGATGTATGCTAGCTGGTAGTGAACCAAGTGACCAAATAGGCTTGGGCTGTAATACACTGCATAATATTTAGTCTGGCATTAAAGAATTCGTGCGTTCTTTCTGATTTTTTTAGCTGTATTACAGCCAGATGACCAAGCTTGTGTAGGTGAAGTGGGACTATTTCCTCTTTACATGGGAGCAACTGATAGACTGCTAAATGCTGATCACGAGGAGGTGTACTTCAAGGGAATGCCAATGTACAAAGGAATGGTGCGCGGTTTGGCTAACCTATTAGAATCTTGCTTTAGTTTATCTACTAATAGTGTTATTTAACCAATCACTGAATCACTCTTCTTTCAGCAACTTAGGAGACATGGTGACATTATAAAAAGAACTGTCGGAGGATTTCTGGTGGTGCAGGGAAGATCTGATGACACCATGAATCTTGGTGGCATTAAGGTATATCATTCTCCTATTTTCCTTTCCCTTCACTTGCATAGCTTCGTAGTCATATGTGTGAGAACTCTTCCCTTTCAATTTGATGCAGACAAGCTCAATAGAGATTGAGCGGGTTTGTGATGGGGCTGATGAAAGTGTCCTGGAAACTGCTGCAGTCAGCGTTGCGCCACCAAGTGGTGGTCCAGAACAGTTGGCTATATTTGTGGTGCTGAAGCCGAGATTCAAAATCGAGTCAGATAGGCTAAAGATGAAATTCTCAAAAGCCATCCAGACCAAACTTAACCCATTGTTCAAGGTTCGTATCCTTGGTTCCATGATATTCGATCTCAGCTTTGAATGAATGCATTCATATTTTTTGTTTATTAATCAGGTGAGCTTTGTGAAGATTGTCCCAGAGTTTCCTCGAACAGCATCAAATAAGCTATTGCGCAGAGTATTAAGGGATCAATTGAAGCAGGAGCTTCAGATACAGAGTAAAATCTAATTGCATCATTAGTTATTCATGTAACTGCTGATGGGAATGAAACTTGCTTGTTATGGTGTATGTGAAATTTGGATTCAATTATTGAAGAACCCTTTGGTGATATTGAATAAATGGAAAGAAATGTTACATATGCTCCAAGAGTATCTTTTGAACCTAAAGAAGACAATATCATTGATTGCTGGAACTCGCCTCGTTAATTTTGGCATTTGAATTAATAAATGGATGCAGAACCTGCTTTATATTTTATAATAGATACCGTACAGTATAATGCTCGTGAAAGGACATACCAGTGACTTGGCTAATGAAATTCCAGCTTAGTCTCGTCTATCATAAGTCGATCTGTCGTTCAAAAGATTCATAATAGAAACAAACCCGAGTGAACTTGCACGAAGATATAGAGCAAGATTCATGCCTTGCTACATAACAAGTCTAATAGGTGACCTGATGCCAATAATAAGTGCATACCTGAACTCTCAATAAAAAAATTAATTGTTACAACATATCCCCTACCCTCAACATAGTTGAATATTAAGGTCAGCCTTCAAACATGAAAATATAATTACGGTATGATACATATGATTGTTAAGTAATTATATTTCTCTCTCACTTACTTGAGAGAGACTTTGGTTTAATGAAAGATTTAATAAACACCCTATACAGACATCCATTAAAAAGGAAAAATCAAATTACGAACCCATATTGGTTAACAAATAAAAAATGATTGGTGAATGTTTAAGTCTCCATGAAAGTAATCGACTTCTATTTACCAATGAAGAGAAAAGTAAGCATAGAAAGATAACATGTACTAATCAAGCCCTATATCGACTGAGAGCAGACCAAGCTGTCTTATATGGAATTGTTGTTCAGACAGTTTCTTACAAAACTTACAAGTGGCTAACTGGTGCGTCTTCTTGCACTTTCCTAGACTAAAGTTATACAGGGACTCTTTTTCCTCGATAACGGTCAAAGAACTGCAAAAGAGAAGAAGAATTATAAACACGAGATAATCATGTGACAAACATAAACATACAAGAAGGTGGTTCGTTGTCAAACAAGTGACAAACAGAAACCGGGCTACGGAAGTACACTGGCTTTCTTTCTGAATGCAGAAAAAACAAAGAACAGAATTTCAAGTCTGTGAACTCCCATTTTAGAAGAATAGCACCTAGGACTTCAAACTCCAGACAATAATACAATCAGAGCTGAAGTTCAGATTCAAATGCAGAACTTGCAAGTTGTCAAGTGGATAAATAAAGCATCCAAACTATAACAGTAACATAAGCATCATCCAGACTCCAAAAAGTAAATCTACAAATCAGTCAACACCATGGAAAAGTTCCAGTCAAAGAATCAAACCACTCTAACTCAGGTCGACTGTCCATGTCTAACGAAAAGGAAACAGATTCTCCAAACAGACTCGTATCTAATACCCTTTCAACGAAGTTCACATTCAGTATACAAGAACAATTCTCAGACACTTCTCAACTTTGTTGAAATATCATTCAGACACTTAACATGTTACCTTATTTGAACTTTAAGAAACTTGTCTCAAATAATGGAAATTTTTTGAGCAAGAATTTGTACACTCAAGCTATACTTGAAAATGTAACTACAAGATATAATTTGTAATACCCTGGAGAAACTATGGGAAATATAGCCAGCGGATAACAATGGTACATATCCTCATATTATCACTCCGTTATATTCCACTGTGCTTTAACAATGATAGCAGCCGAACGGCCCAAATTAAGGCATGATCACAAGTATGAACAAGGTAACTAACAAATTTTAGCATCATTTGATGTCTTTCAACTATTAGCTCCTAAACTACCCACCCTCAAGTACAATGCAATTAGACTAAAGTGTTCCTAGCAAGATATACTAAGGAATATTTAAAGAAGAGACGCAGCCCATCGCTCCATGATGCACAGCATACATTATCTTCTACAGAATAATTATACTAGAACATAAAATTGTTCATTCTTGGGCAAGTAGAGTATCCTGGCCTACACTTCAACTACTAATAAGGGGAAAAGACTGAGTGGTATGGGGCACCATAAAAACACCTCCAACGAAGCAATAAGAAGTTTAAATAAAGTTTCCTTTAAATACTCCAAACAGATAATCGGAAAATGTAAATACCGATCTGAAAAAAGGCTGCTGGAACAGCCAACCAAGACCAGGTATCCTCTGCAGAAAAACAGCAAGTGTTGGCCAAAAGCCACTGCACAAATATAATTATAAATTGTGATCATCAGGACCAGGAAGAGATAAGTGTAAACTACTGTGAAAACTAATACATTATTATATGTCTAATCAAAGAAACAGTGTTTGCTGAACCTGAAGAGTACGACAAATCCATATGCCTCTAGCATCATTCCAACAATAGGCCATCCAACAATGACAAAGAAGAAGCCAGCACCAAATGAAACCGTTCCCTACAATAAACATTACAATTCCCAGTGGACTCGAAATAACATAAATGGTAAAATAACACAGTGCAAAGTCACTAAGTAAAACAAACCTTAAAATTGGATCGTTTCATGAAGAATTGCGCCGATGACTTGAGTCCAATTGTTAATGTCACACCTGAGAAGAACAGGATCTGTTTCAACACAACGACACAATGTTAAACAACTAACAAGGAATCAAAAATAAATTTAGCAATATGAAGGTGGAACTTACGTTTCCCATAGCCAGTAGTCCCTTGTCGAAGAAGAAAATGATCCCCAAGAATGAAAAAAACACTCCAAACCCCGTCAGTCCCAGTCCAATTTCTGTCACGTTATATCAGAACAAAGAAAAAACACATCAAGCATTGCACATTTCTTTCTTCAACAATAATATGAAGGCACACTTCAAACTAACACTTCAGTTTCACTCGGCAACGAGAAATTAATAAACATAAATCAAAAGGTAGATTTATACTTATAATCTACAAACAAGCTGGAATACAAAGCCACAATAGCTTAGATGCAATTATTCATATATCATTGAAAACTCCATTTAAACATAGATTGGGCGAACCAATGCGCACACACTCACGCACTCAATTCAACAATCGATTCAACGATACATGTAAATAGAACGGAATAAACTTACTTTTTCGGTCGTTCATTTCGAAGGACATCATATTTGCCTGTTCAGATTCGAACACACTTTATTAGAATTTAAACTGAAACTCGAAGACGAATGAATTCCTGCACCGCTTGACACGAAGAAAATGATCGTCGCCTTAAATCATCAAAAAAACACAAAATTTGTCAAATACTTGTGCATTTGGACCAAATTAAAACGAAAATCAGAGAGTCAGGGTTCCGATAGAAAATAAAAATTACAAGATCTGTTGGACTACCTTCTTGTATAAATCTCAAATAACTTGCCTTAGTTCAATTAATCTATACAATTAAATATAAGCGAGGAAATAGAACCTGTAATTACGAGCGTAGACTCTACAGTTTCAACTTAGAAGGGAAGATAACGAATTCTATTTGCTTGGTGACGTGATTCGTAAAAAAAAAAAAAAAAAGAAGTCATGAAGTTTGTATTCTAATTGAGGAAATTGCAGGGAAGATCCTCAACTTTTTAGCTTTGCAACATTTTGGTCTTAAACCGTATTGAGAACCTAATAATATACTCCTACTCTTAACTATAGTAGGAAAAAAGATAAAAGCCACAGAATAACAAGCAAAAAACAAACAACTATCTTCCCCTACCTCGATTGTACGAAGAGTCTAAGACGATGTGCCAATTCCACGCTACCCACCCATATCTTATCGAGAAACGTACTAGATAATTGTTTTAGGTCTCAAGTTTCATCGACGATCTTATTCCTTTGCTTTTCCATCATTTTCTCATTTGTTTTTAATGAAATTTTGGTGGTACCATGTCAATATCAAACATTGGAGAAGTGGTAATGCCCAAGTAAAATTAAGCCCTTGTTTGGTCTACATTATTTTCAAAATGCATTTTTTTCTATCCTATTTTCAACCACATTTTTTAATAAAATAATATTACATACAAACCCAAACTTTTTCTGTTTTAACCATACATTCTCCATCGAATCATTATTTCAAAATGCTTTTTTTATTAAAAAAAATTGGGGCTCAAACAAGCTGTGAATTTATGTTTGGCATTTCTTAAAACTCATTTTTTTTTTTCAAATTCATTTTCAAGCATTTCTTAAAACTCATTTTTTTTTTCAAATTCATTTTCAACCATACAATTTATCAACTTTTATCAAAACTACTAAAAATTTGATTTTAATCCCCAAACTCTAGCTATATTGTTTTGACAATAAAAATCTAAAAAAAAAATCAAATTTTTCTTAATTTCGAAAACAAAACAAATATCACAATTATCTCCCTTCACCGTCATTTCTTTTTCACACGTTACTAGTTGTCATCGCAGCCGCCCAAAAGTGTAAAATGTATTACAGATGTTACTATTTCTACTTGCTACTGCACTTGGAACATGAGTACTTG